AGACAAGTTACCGTGAAAATTTTTATACATGATTCAACTATCGGACCAACCATAATGTGAATGGTCTAAAGTCGTATTCATGAATCGAAATGCTGTGGGGGTTATGACTAATGGTGGCGGCAGTACTCTGCTCAGGGCAAAATTTCACCAGCAAATCCTTTCGTTTTGTGTAAGTCACCCAGCCATTTGGTGGAGATCAGTCGCATAGAGCCTCATATGAGCCATGAATGTGCCTGGGTCAGTTCAGAGAATCAGAATGAGCTTTAGGTCACGTTAGATCACAAAACACTCCTCCCAGTTCATTTTTGGGTTGTTGGGTTTAATCCAAAATGCATCAAGAGTTTAACGCGCTCATTTTTTGGATCCCTGCACGAGGATAATGACTACTGTTTAAAAATGTTCTCCATTATATTTCTGTGTCTTATGCGCCCCTGGTGGAGTATTTTGTATCAACTTTAAATTTACCAACTGTTTTTCCATGCGGACGCCGAGCGGTCTATCCGTTTTACCAATGTACTCGTCCTCGCAGGGCCTACGATAGTTCGGAAGCCGTACCTGAACTTATGCAATCTGTATCACCACCTGTACCGTTAGCGTATGTCATGAGATTTTGCATTGTGCATAGACGGTCGTATAGGAACTTACAAAATAACTGGCGTATTAGAGTGTTGAATGGTATGTCAATCCCTGCCACCGAATTCTCTAGAGCGGCCCTTCTCAAGCAATGTTTTACAGTTGCTATTTTTTCGCTGGAAATAAAGAGCGTGATAAAATGGCCCTTATTCTCAGTAGAACTACCGTTTAGTAGCGAGGTTTTTCCTTCTCGTCTCTCGCGAGGACCTGCAGAAAAACAAAGGAATAGTGTTTACGAAGCCTAAGAATCAAACTGTTATCCTGGTATTGGTTTACTCTTAGCTAGGCTTCCTGATGGAAAAGCCGCACTCCTCAGCTTGGGAGACCCTGCCAGAGAAAGAATCGCCGCGATGTATATCGCAGTCCAACACGCAGGAACACCTCCCATCCACGATGAGGCGGTAAACCGTTGGAAGGATAAAATCATAGACCAATAGCAAGATCTACCATCGTCCTGGTATCAAAGTCGCATGGTGGTAAATCTCCCTCTGATCCACAAGGGCTACGACATCCCGTGGTGGTGAAGACCTGGGGCAAATTTTGGCCAGGCTGACCTCGAGACTCCAGGGAACTATAATGGCTTAAACAGCAATTCTCCGAAAAATGGAGACTATGCAGGGACCCGCACAACCAGTGAGGATAGGCCATCCAAGTATCAAGAAAGTATCAAGATTCAAACTAGGAACATGATGCACCAGAAGTCATTGTGTTACGATGCATGACTCTCGCTGAGGAAACTACAGCTTCCAGGTATTTGGTGGAGACTCAGCAGCTGGAATCCACTAAATAACTGGGAGACCTGCGTGTTCAAAAGATGTTGTTTATTATGCGAATGGAAATTTAAGTGCTACGTTTTGTGTGCCGAGGTTATGAACAGCGTTTGGCTTAGTGGATTGCGTGTCAGTTCCACCTTTCCACGCTCTAAAGAAGGCGAAACCTCAGAAACGTCAGCTATTGCTTATTAATAAAAGCTGTGATACCAACCTCATGTTCGCTCATTAAGAACAACAGCAATTATTGATCAATGCCGAGGTTAAAAAAGACATCATTTTTTGCCGGTTATGGAAACTGCAGTCATTATTTTTCATAGGCGTAATACATCTAACTTGTCAAGGCGAGAATGCGGCTGCTAGTGGGAGAAATATTTCGGTATTTAGGATTGTTCAAAATGCTTCGCCTCGCGCTATTCGCACTACTCTGCCTACAGCAGCCGATGGCTACAGTGCAGTTTGTAGTTAGTTTGCAAGGTTTTCAGCAATATTCTAGTGTGGTGGTCAGTGTAGTGGAGTACAAGCACAATGATGCTGAGACATTCGCAGACATGCGACCGTTGGCCAGATCGAACCACGACTACCCTTTCTGAGTGTTTGAGTGCTACACAATGCATCTCTGGTGCCGTTGCTTTGTCTTCATATCAGTTAGTTTTCCAGCTTATGGTGCCATGAGCAGCCACCCGTCAGCATCATTGTGGTTGTATTTTACATCATACCCTGCCGTAGAAAATTAGAATAGGCAGAAAATAAAAGGTTAACATTGTGATACATGTGGTTTTTCACACTGCACTTCTTTTGCTGCATATGATTTTTTAGACCTTAGGTACTAAGACAGACAGGCTGCTATCTGTTTAATTAAGCGGCTGTCCGTCATGTGGACGACAGCAGTGCGCTCTCTACATAATGTCTGAGCCTAACCTTCACATAATAGGGAATATTTCCGATTCCACTCCTTCCTAATCCTTCCTTATTCGATATCCAATAGCAGAAGGCTCATCTTTCTAAAGATTCGCTAGGTATAGACTGTCACATAGGCTTTGCTCTTGGTCTTACGTGAGCATTTGCTTCTTCTGATCCTTCTCTTTTCAGTGCACGGCTAGGTAAATAGGAATATCTTCGTTTTATTGAGCAGACTATGAGCTTATTTTTCAGAGAAAAACACCGAGGAAAGATAATCGCTTGAAAACCAGTTCCTTTACAACTCTCTTCAATATGCTTACCAAATTCTTAGTGTTCTCCAGATTCTCAAATACCTCTGTCAAGAATGAAATCATATAGTTTTAATTTTTCTGATACTCAAAAAACACCTCCAAGACACCTACTTTGCGAAAATAAAATGGTTGCAGATTCGTCTATCGGCAGCCACAGATAGATGTCTCAGAAGCGAATCCCTTCCCGTTACGACCCCGGGTGGATTAAGAATACGTGAACTGATTTTTCACTGCTACCGTGGAAAGGAACCAACAGCGGTAGCTCGCTTCAATATAAGTAATTACGATATTAAGAGAGGAACTCAACTTTTTGGGAGTCTTCGGAAAGAAGGATTGAAGTTTGAGGACTGCAAGCTTAGTGTTATCATGTACGTAATTCGACATGGGGAGGCACGTTCAAATGAAAGCCCGACTTCCTATCAAGTGCCTAAAATTTTAAAGAAATATTATCAATCTTCTGCTGAGCCAGGAACTGGACTGGACTTCGGCAAAATGTACAACTTGAGCCCTTTCATTCCGCTGATTCGAGTATACGAGGACTTTCATCAAATCCAGTGGATATTGTAAGTGTTTTCATCGTTTTTGCGGTTGTTGTCTTTTTGCTTAATTCTTCATTTAGCTTTTTTTTAATCACGGGAACTATCATCTGTCACCTGCCGCCTTGTCGATCGTCGAGTGACTCGAGAGTGCGCTAGTAAATTTTTATTTCACTCTCTCGCATACCGAAGTAGTGTAGTGGGTTCCGGTGGCTCTAGGGACTCGCTAAGCATCGTACCTTTATTCGAGGGTTCTCGTGAAGAACAATGATCATAGGATTGGCGATCATCCTACGGTGCGTTTAAAATCTCGAGGAATTCAATTACTAACGGCTTTCGTCTACATGACGTTCACCTGCATTACGTGTACGGCCCGCCTTCGATAGGTTTGGCGTATGCTACAGATTCTTTGATTCTTGATCGTTGACGCACATTGCAGCTTCGGATCCCTTCTGTTACTTGCTTGACACAGCATACTTCTAGCACCGTCGCATCGACTGCGCCTTATAAAAGAGTGGGAGACCATTCACCATGCTTACGTAGCGACCGTGTTTCTGGCGCATACGTTAAATCAGGAAGTGCCATTGAGTCGACAAGGTGGGAACGGAGTCGCGTTTTCTTTGTCTTCTTCGCTACATCCTCGATGCTTTTGAAAGCTCCACAAGCAGCTCGTTTCCTTCAGCTCAACTCCGGAGCTAAGTCGTTCATCATATTGGTTCCCCGAGCTAGATAGACGTAACTGGAGCATTAGGAGATACTAATTTCGTTAGGAGTGAATGGGGCATGGGTGACCAATCCGCTCTTCGTGAACATTTTTTTTTGTGAGATTTAGTCATTCAGTCAGTCAAGAACATTCTTTCCACAGGCGTTATCAAAGTCTCTAAGCATTCGTTCTTCCTGGCTAATGTTCGGTTTTATGAGAACGATGCTAGCGAACGTAGTGTATTTGCCGGCCATCAGTTTCCGCTTCACGTTGTCACGTAGCAGTTTCCTGAGGTTTTCGGGGGTCGTGATTGACAATTTTGGCGATATCGTGACGCCTTGCCTAACCTCTCTTTTGACGTCGATATTAATATGGTTATAGAATGGTGATATTTTGGTTGTGAAATTTTTACATAGTTCAATAAGAATCTAGCCTTGTATACCAAGTAGGGAAGCCCTGGCTGCCCAGGGCCGTCTAGAACGCTTTCCCTAAATCGATGAGAGTGAGACTCAGCTGTCTCTTGTATTTTCTTATCATTATGCGGATGTGGAGTATCGCACTGAATCCTTTTCCAAACCGTGCTTGCTCAAATCCCTTTCGTTCGTTTAGTGTTATGTCAGTTCTGTTTAGAATGAGTCCAGTGAAGATTTTATAAAAGATAGACAGTAAGCAGATTGTGCGAAAGTCGTCGATATGGTGGAGGTCGCTGTTCTTGAACAATAATATGGTCTTGCAGGCATTCCACTGAGTAGCGACCTTGTATTCCGACAGGTAACGCATGAAGAGCGCAACAAATGTGTTAATAACGTCTGGCGGAGGCTTCGCCAGATCCCTACGTCTTATTCTGCCACCTTGGTTTTGCAATTGTCGCAGCTTCGGTGGGCTTTCCCAATGCTCTTATTAGCCGCTGTGGCTTCGGGCATACCTGCTACGCTTCTCTCTATGATCTTCTTTTGTCGCATGTCTGTATTGCTTTGCAAGTTCAGACCTGAGTTGGCGATTGCCTGTAGCCCGTGCGATTCCACGCTAGCGTATCAGCTCGAATGTTTTTAGAGACAAACACCTCTTGCTCCATTTCGAACTCTCAGCTTCCATAGCGCTTACGTAAAGATGTTGGATAGGCCGATCGTGTTCCTTGTCGATGCTATCGTGAACGGCACCTTCCCAACAGTCGACTAGTCAGTATTGATCCACTTCTCTTCAATGGTAGACGTCCTAATCGAGCTGTTAGTTGCTCGAATGAATCGATGTTCATTGCCAAACCCGTGTTGACGAAAACTCCAACGCCACCGGCTCCTCCATTGTCGCATGTTCCGAGGAACAGTTTCTTCACCGTTGTCATAGACAGCTTTGAGTGGGTGGTATCTTCTCGTCCCGCCCACTCCGATAACATCGTGCCTTATTCTTTTTTCTACATGATCAGGTGTTCTATGGAGCACTCAAATGCAAATGACCGTGAATTATAGATACGAATTGTCAACTTAGTCCTTTCCGATTTTGACAGCCTAAAATTGTTCTGAGATTTCAACAGGATTGCTAAACTTTAAACTTGGGGTCTTGATGTACTAATGGGTAGTTTTCCAACTTCTCCAAGAGCAAATAAAGGGCTTATTTGTTGAAAACGACTGATAACCATCTACCATGTAATTCCTGTCACTTGAATGGAGGCATTTGGCTCAAATGATTCGCAAAGTGCATTGCTCATAAACGATAACACATCTACGCACGCATGTGTATGAATGCCTCCTCACAAACAAAAAAGCTATCTGTCAAAGTGGCACAGCAGAAACCAGGGTTCCACCCACTGGATTCAACAGTGGGGAAGCATAAGGTCGCTTTTGACGCGATGTTAAACTCCTAATCTGCAACCTGAGGTCTCTTTATGTTTCCTCTTCACTAATCGGGAATGGTCCTTCTGTGAGAGAAATGCATGGACATAAGCTGAAGCATATAGTTTTGAGATTAATAAACTTCCTAAAATTGCGTTGTTTTTGCAGTGACGGTTCCTTTCACAGTTGCGCGTCCACTTCAATCTGGATAGCCAACGAAGGTCTCTATGTGTATGACACACAGAGCAGAGAAATATTTCCTCTCTACTATGATCCGTATGAAAGGAAGACTGAGATGATCATCTGACTGTGAAGCTAAAATAAATTATTAACGAGAAATCTTGTTTAGTTATCGTGCTGTACTTCGAAGAAGACGTCGTCTTCAAGTGCAGTTCTGCCATGTGCCATCATGCCCACCATAAAACTTTTCGAGATTCTACGGATTTTGTTCACCTCGGTGGTTAACAGTGTAATGTTTATACTCTGGTACGTTTCAGGGTAGTCTTAAAAAGCGGCACGAATCCATTTTGCATACTTGCTGAATCGATTGGCCTACCCCCATGAATAATCAAGTAAATCGACCACTGCTGGCCCGTGTTGCATGAGTAGCGCGTTAAAGCATTCGGCGAGAATTAATCCATTGGTGAAAGTGTGAAATGTTCCATTTTATTACGCTCGCTGAGCAGATCGAATTCGTACTCTGCCAATACAATGACTTGTGGTGGGCGTTGGGCTAACCAAGTTTTCCATCCCACCGAGGTTAGCAAATTGCTATCAGACCTGTCTGGGGACAAAAAATTTGACGTGATATATCCGTAGGCAAGCGCAAGTTATTTTGTAAAACAAGTATGCATCCAATAACCTCTGCGATGCTTTATGAATTGAAATGCATGACGTACACCTTAGGGGACAAAACGAACGCTTTGCTAGCATGAGCCTTACTAAACTTGCACAAGCGTATGTATATTCTTCAAGAAATTTTACTTACAAACCACACTTTCTCACAGATACAGAAGCTATGGCAATAATTAAAACTTGCGAGTTCATGCTTGAAAAGCGAAGTCTAACCTAATCATAGTCTAATCAAAAGTACTCCTAGCTACGTCCTCACGAACGGCAGCACGACTGTGAACGACGCGGAAACAGCAGCGTCACTGGACCGGAACACAAGGTCGACAGGCAATGTGGGCGACGCTTCGACAGACAGTGTGCATGAGATTAAGTTTGGAAAACTGCAAAGTGTTTTCTTCATTATATGGACAATATTCTCTATCTTCTATTGCAATGTCCGTGAAATGCTTTACTGCTATTTTACAGCTAATTGCAAAGTATTTCGTTGAATCTTCATATGTTAGAACCTTCAAACTCGAAAAGCCAACAGCTTAGAAGCGCTTTGTGATCGTTTTTCTATGTCAACATCTGTATCCTTGTAGAAAATTGACGGGGAAAGAATCTTGTTCACTACGGTAGCGTCTACTTTCAGACGGGACGTAAAAATCGCTGCCAGCTTTTCAACTAATTCCTGCTCTGCTCCTTAGTCCTTCTCGTTCAATAGTTTCCCAAACTTAAGCTGAAGCATTTTATCGAACTTCATAACTCCCGAATGCGTTTGAACGTAAATGGGTTTTTTCTGTGGCGAAAATACTGAGTTCCGTCGCCAATGTTGTATCGTAAAAGAGAGTTCGTCAATGTACTCGTCGCCGCACGCTTCACAAGAGATCACATAAACCGTAGCTAAATTCATGCAATTACTGTCTCTAAAGTTAGGGCATATTATGCAGTTTTTCGTTGTGCACAGACGGTCATATACGCGGTTGGTTACGTATTATCTCGTGTCTTGGAGTCCTCTAGCGTATTTTAAACCCTGTTGCCGAATGCTCTAAGCTGGACCTACTTAAGAAACGTTTTACAGCTCCTCTTATTTTGCTTGGAATGAATGGCACGATAAGGGAGCTCTTACTCTTACTAAAATTAACTTTTGGGCGTTGGGTTTTTCCTTACACCTATCCCGAGAACCCACAGCTTCAAAGTCATGGAAAATGGGTATTTTACGCGTCAATTTCAAACATTCTTCATTCTACTCTCTTCCTGTTCACACATTGGACCTCGGACCTCACTCGATGCGACTACGAAGACTTGATACTTGATACTTAAATGGCCCGTCCTTACTGGTTGTGCTGGCTCTAGCATAATCACCATTTTTCGGAGATTTGCTGGTTAGGCTATTGTGGTTTCCTGGAATCCCGAGGACAGCCGGGCCAAAGTCTGCCCCAGGTCTTCACCACCACGGAAAGTGGCAGCCCTTGTGGATCAGAGGGAAAATTACCACCACGCGACTTTGATACCAAGACGGTAGTAGATCTTGGTATTGGTTTACTCTTAACTAGGCTTTCTGATGGAAATGCCAGACTCCTCAGCTTGGGAGACCCTGCCGGAAAGACGAATCCTCCCGCTGTACATCTCAGTTCGACACTCAGGAACACCTCCCACCCACGATGAGGTGGTAAGCTGTTGGGAGGATAAAAATATTACGAAACACTTTCCAATTAGCTGTAAAATAGCAGTAAAAAAGCATTACACGGACATTTCAATAAACAGTCAGCGACATTTATAAAAATGACGGTAGTCCTCATACAACAGCCAAAGCAACACACCAAAGCTTGGAAGACGTTCATGAATGGTGATTAGAGGAAGCAAATCCAATGGGAAAATTCGGGGATCCCCACACTAAATGTGAAAGACGGGTTGTGTAAAGCAAAATAACGAAAAACTGCCATTCCGTTCTAGAAGAAATAAGCAAAAGAAACAAGCAGTATTTGAATAAGGCGCTTGGCAGAAATGTAGAACTGCAGAATATGGCATGGAGTGCATGTCATCCATAAAATTATGCAACCATTTGAGGTGCTAATATTTCGGTCCTGCAGACTCATAAAAACGACTGCAATCCACCTGCTAATATTTTCCTTACAGCAAAAATATAGCGGGGTTCGTGTCGTTTTTGTTGAATTCAAAGCAAAGTGACGATTTGTTTTTATCGCACACAATAACATTTCTCTATGATTTCTGTACTTGCATCTCTAAAATAGTCTATTTCAGAAGCATTTTTCTACCTGAAATATAACTTCAATAAAGCTGAGATATTTGCAAAACTTCAGACCGCAGGTGTCTGCGGTGGGGAACGAACGCGCTAATTCCCTTCCCGAGGAGTAACGCGTTCACAATCACATCATACTGGTCCTTCGTTTCGCCTGCCTCTCAAGTTATTGTATCGATCAGCGCCATCAGCAATCACCGTTCAAAGGGATTCACCTAGGGAGCTCAAATCGGCAACGAACCCAGTTAAGCTGAGGCTGTAGTTATAATCGTGGTTGCTCAGGATGTTTTCAGTATACAAAAGGAAATGGACAGCGACCCAGTCGAGGTCTGCTTTGACGCGTGCGCGGATTTCGAGCACTACAATTTCAGTGGACTCTACAAAGAGAATTATAGTAATAATTAAAACGAAAACAGTAGCGAGAGATGATAGTTACGCTTCATTTGGCATGGGTATAAACAACGAGTAAGAGGATAAGCGATTAACACGATAAGTGGTACGATAAACGGTCGGGAAAACGAAGCGACCATTCGGCGCTGGTGAATTCTCAAGGGCGATGTGTCATCATCAAACCAAGGTGATTGGATTTCTAGTCCAAGCGATCACTTACAACATCCACCGTTGTTGCTCCTTATTAGCGTTTAATACCTCCCCACATAGCTAACTTTCTGTAGACGGAGGGTGGCCTTGAGTGGGCTGGGTTGGTTAAATCGGAATACCGAATCGAACCATTAGACATACACATCTCATAGCACCTTTAACACATACGCGGTGACGTGAGCTTTAGAGTTTTCATCTGCAATGGGATAGTATGGCCTATATCTCCTCTACCGAAGTCATTTTCTTTTTGATGGTTTATTTTAGTGCAAACCACCCTTTTTATATATTTGCTGCAAATTATCGATAGCTTGCCCAACGCAGACATTGTGGGGACGTCGTAGTTACGAAATTTTTTATTTTTACATGAGTCGTCATCATATCTACCGTGAGAGCCTCAGCACTCCTTGCATTCGATTCGTTTTCTTTACACTCATCATTTACAATGGTCTTCGAACATTTTGTCCGTTGGTTCGGCTGCTGCTTGATCACTTCGGCTTCTTTCTGAATGTCGTCGAAGATAGCAGAGCTAAAGCGTTCACACGTGGATTGATGGAAGCTCATATTAGGGCCTTTGATCCCTGATCGATACCACCATTTACCACTGCGCAATCTCCGCTCCGGTTATGAAAAATACGGAAATAAATTTATCATAACCTAGAAAATCTTCAAAATGCATTGTGTTTGCATGACGGGCTTCATAGCATACATAGCATATACGCTATTCACATCCTCTGAGCGATTAATAGATGTCTCCTCTACAATCCTGCCATCTTAAAAACCTATCAAGTTCTCTAGTCATTGGAAAATTTTTGCTGAATCCAGCCAAGAAAGCACTGGTTATTTATGCCGAAGTGTTTTTAGAGAATTACT